TCCCACCCAACTTGCTATGGATGCAAATGGATTGAATCAAATCTGATAAGCGTATATCCAAATGTGATCAAATAATGTTAATCCTATATCCAATTTGATGATTTGATGGATCTCACAAAGATCAATTTGAATGTGAATTCATTAAGGATGTTGGATATCCGTATGTAATTTGATTCGATTTAATTACCAAGAAGTTTGTTCACAAAGATCATTTGACTCATACTTTTCACAAATTCTTAAAAGACAAGTAATGGGTCAAATGGGTTTACCACTGATGCAGATCTAGTGACCCATGAATAATACTTGTAAATACATAAAGTATTAAAAATGGTATAATATAGAAAAAGAATTTTGGTTGGGGTTTTGAAGTCCAACCCCAATAGTAACCCAATCCAACCTTCAACCTAACCAAGTAAACTCTAATCCTATCCCATTCTAAAATCCCTCAACCCTAATCCAACCCAACCCAAGCTTCGGGTTGGGTCTAGCCCGACCTTTCTCCAATCTTAAAATGTTGTAAAATCTCACAGAGTTTCTTAGTTATGAGACCCAGATTGTTTCATTACCTTATATTGATCATAATTTATTGGCATTTGCTTGTTTGATATTTTCATTTGTTTTTTAGTATTAAAAAAAAAAAGAGAAATGTTTCAAATAACAAGAGTCTATTGAATTATGATAGATCTATTATTGAAAATCTGAAATTAACAATAATAATACATAAAATCATGGAAAATTGTAGCTAAAATAAATTATGGAATGAAAATCACTTATGACAACTTGTAATTAGGGTTAGTGCCTCAAAGTTAAGATAGATGGATTATAGTAATATGTAGTAGTAGGGGCGAAGCCAGGGAACCCTAGGGAGCTATGCCCCCTGGCCTAGAAATCCTCATTTTTCCATATACATTTTCACCCTCCGCACTCCCCACCCTAATGGTTTCTCCCTAATAGCCCATCTATATTTATCCTTCCCCCCTCCCCCCAATCCACTCTAGGTTTCCCCTCCTTATAAAAAATTCCTAGCTCCACCCCTATGTAACAGGATTATAATACATGCATACATTAGTAATAATAGAATAGGTCGATATATTAAGCAGAAGAGAACCAATGTGAGAGGTGGAGGAAGACCGATAAGGTGATGTAGGTGGCTATAGAGGTGAATAGAAAAGACCAGCTGGAGTCCCAAGAATGGGTGTGACTCCACTTGAAACTGATAATGGCAGGATGGTCTAATAGCAAATAAATGAGGGATCCATCCTCAAACGATTTCTTCGGTGGGGTCAAAAGAGTGTAGAAAAGGGAATGAAGCACCCAACTTTCTTCCTACCTTGTCTTCTATTCTTTCAATTTATGCTTCTTTGCTTCTGGAAGAAAAAAAAAATGGTGGAGATGGGTTTTGTTATTGCGGAGAAGAAGGAGAAAGGGAGGCAGGGAGCGGTCTAGACTCTTGACTCTTAACTCCAAATCCAAAAAAACCTTCCTATGCCCAAAATGAGCGAGCGAGCAAGTGCGGATGTGCATGTCGAAGCCTTGATAAATGAAGAAACTAGGTGAAAAACGGGAGTCTGGAAGAACGATGCCCAATGTATTAAAGGGAGATCAGCGGTTTCCGGGGTTAATATGGTGTCATCTACGACCAAGGTAGACGGGTGCCAATTGGGTTGGATTAGGTCCAATCTGATCCAATTCAATGTGAGTCCATTACAATTACACCAGGTTGAATCTAATCCAATGATTATTTTGGACCAGTTCAATTTAATGTCTGGATCATACAATCTATTTAAAATTGTTTTAATTTAGATTGGTTTTACCCCAAACCTAGTCAATTGACACCTATATTCTTATCTTATATCAATGAACTATATATTGTTTCAATCCAACCCAATCCAAATTAGGGATGGACTAGGTCCAATCCAATCCAATAAATACTTTGGACCATTAAGTTTGGACTGGTCCAATTCAATACGTCTTGTTCGTCTATCCAATCCATCCAAATTGATTTTGGTTTGAACAGGGTCCAATCCAAAACTAGTCCATTGACACCTCTAGCCAACGCTTGGTTTCCCTTGGACTCATCCCTGCCATCCACAATCTCTCCACGCAAGTAAAGCTCCAATTAAGGTCACTAAGTCGAAGAAAGGGAAGTCCTTCCAACGGTGATGGCTGGTGACTTGGCAATCAGAGAGGGAGACGTGAACCAAAGATGTGAAGAGGATTACCTCGATAGGTAAGCATTTGATGACTAGGAGAACCTTCTCATAGGGATTCAACAATTGAAGCATATCCATATGAATACCTCCTAGTAGAGAACCCAGTTTCCCTTAAGGTCTAAGAAGATATGATTATAATGTCAGCTAGAGTGATAAAGACAACAACTTCTCCATGGAAGCTCTCTTAGAATCTGTTTTCAAGAAGAATTTGACAATTCGTTGGGTTTTATTTTGAGGAAGCTCTCTTGAACTAGTTCCCCCCAACTTCCTCAAAATTTCCATCAGATGGGTTAAATTTTGAAAATTCGAGGAATAGTGGAGGGTAAGTTTGACATTTTGTTGTTTTCTATTAGTGCTTAACGACGATGTCAATTGGTAGAAATAGTAGGAGTACATTAAGACAATATGTAAACAGTAAGGGTAGAGTTAGTCAATTAGTTACACCATAAGGGTAGTTTAAGAAATTTGCCCTTATTATTATTACTATTATTATTTATTTATTTATTATTAAATTTTATATTTCATTTTTATCATAAATAAAATTAATTTTTATTTTAATAATTATTTTTATTTAATATGATGAGTATATAACATTACAAATGTTTTCCAAATATTTTCAACAAAATTCTATACTTTTTCATTTTTTGTGTTCTATCTTTTTTTTAATATTTATTATTCAATTATGACATCATGAGTTTCTTTGAAAAGTTGAATCATTGATCCACCATCTAGATAATAAAATAGCTTAGTTTTTGAATTAGTTGTAAATTATATATTTCATCTACAATATATAAATAACTTTTACTTATCACACTTAATGTTTGTTTTACATAATTAATATAACTTTTTATATATTCTTTTGATTACTTGTACGCTTTTTTATTTTTAAAGATTTATTACTTAACTATTGTATCGTCAATTAATCCATTAGACCCAAAGCACTAACCCACCACCAGAAAAGAAAAATAGTTTGATTTCTATATTGAAATTAAATTTTGTATTACATTTTCATCATTAATAAAATTATTTCTCATGTATAATACTTATTTTTGTTCAATATAATGAATGTATAATATTAGAGATGTACCTGATATTTTTACTTTTATAAATTTATAACATTAGATATGCACTCAAAATTTTCTCTATTTTTAAAAAATTTTTGTGATTTTTTGTATTTTCTATTTTTAAAATTTTATTATTTGACAATGGCATTTAATACTTATTTTTGTTTAGCATAATGAATATACAATATTAGAGATATACCCAATTCTTTATATTTTATATTTTATATTTTATTTTTTTATTATTTCATTATGACATTATTTATTAATCCATTTGACCCCAAATGGTTGAATTGCTTACCCACCACCAAGAGGAAAGCAAATGGTTTTGTTTTCAAATTACTTTTCAAAATATTTATTTTTGTATTATTAAAACTAATATTGTAGATTTAATTAGTAGAATTTAATGATGAGAAAAATATATCTTAAATTTAGGATTTAATGAGAGAGAATAGGAAAATAGTTGTATTTTTAACTGGTTTTATATTTTACATTCCATTTGCATCATTAATAAAAGCATTTCTTATTAATCATACTCATTGTTGTTTAATATGTCAAATATATGATGTTAAAAATGTTTCCATTTTTTTAATTTCTATATTCTTTTTGCATTTTATCTATTTTATTATTTAATTGCGGCAACATGGATTTGCCCATTTGACCCAAAATGATTTAATTTCTTACCACCATCTAAATGAAAACACTATTTTTTCCGTGTAGATTTAAAAATATAAGTTATTTGTGTTATTTAACTATTTTATTATTTGATTGTGATAACATGGATTAGCCCATTTGACCCAAAATGGTTTAAATTTTTACCACCACCTAGATGAAAATACTAATTTTCTATGTAGATTTTAATATACAAGTTTTTTGTGTTATTAGAATTATTAATTTATTATGTATGCACTTAACTAATAGAATTTAATGATTATAAGAAACAAAAATGCCTTAAATATATGATTCAATGAAGGTGAATGCAAATTAATACCTTAAATGTTGAATTTAATGAGAGGGAATTGAATGTATAGAATATCTTAAAATTATTTATTTTCAACTTATTTAACATCAATAACCATTTATCCTATTTGCCCTCATTTATTAACAACAAATTTAAATATAGAGGGGTGCATAAGTTTTGTCCTTAGAAAATTCCATAAATATTATTGAGGTTATTGTGCTTTTTAAAATAGTATTTATTTATTTAAATTTTTATAATCCAATCTAGGTTGGATAAGGTTGCCTAAGGGGGTTTTTGGGTACAATGGTGTTGTGTTATATTATATTTTAGGTTGATTAATAGAAATTTGTGTGAAAGATTTTTCTACCTGAAAACATTTTGAATGATCCATACAGATTGCTATTTGTTTCTAAAACATAAAATTTTATATTTTTTACACATGCGTTTTTTAATTAAAACGACACCTATACATTAGGTGGCAACACATATTTCTTATAAATTTGTATTGGTCAACCCAAAGCATAATGACAATCCAATACCACTATACCAAACACCCCCTAACATATATATATATATATATATTGTCAAATATCCTCTAAGACACGGGAGATCAACCCTAACCCAATTCGAACTGAAAAATCAGATCGGCAAAAGTAACCCTAACCCTAACCTGGGAGTTATGGGTTCGGGGATGGGCTACCCCGATGTATAACCCTTGAAAAGAAATAAAAAAAAAAAAACACTCAACCCAACCCGTTTTGGCCGAATCGTTGAGCATGCATGCACCAGCCTCCCAATGTTCCGGATGTGCGGAGGTAGTGGCTTATTGGGAGCATATCAGATCAGACCTCAATGTAGCCAATTTTACAGAGCAGTGCGAGCAGCAAATCTCGATTCATCTCAAAAGATCATGTGGAAAGTCGTGTGCGAAGGGAACACAACTCATCGCCTACGCGTTATTCTGACTTCTCACTTCTGAGAACCTAGTGGAGTGGGCGGCTGGTTGCGCGTTACTGCAAAACCGATAGATTAGTGCTTGCATTGGCTAGAAAATCAAAAGTTCAAGGGAAGGAATTAGCAGATCAAGCGTTTAGTGGAGGTTTCATCCTGGTTTCACAGGTAAAATCAGTTTTTAGATTTTTTTCCTTTACTATCTTTCTTCTTCTTGCAAATATATGATTCTATATGAAGTTCTTTCGGAATTTAGGGTTTTAATTTGATGCCATGATGCTGCTGGTTCTTTGTCTTTTCTGTTATATTTTACTAAAATAAAGTAAATATATATTTTTGCTTGCTGGTTCTTCTGCTTCAAGATTTCAAGTTCGCCCTCTCTCTCTCTCTAAGGATTGGTGATCGGTGACCTTCTCTTTGTGGAATTATGGTTGATGGATGGCCGAACCCCTACTCTGATTTCTATCCATTGAAAATTTGCCCCCCAATACCCTCTATGTGTGTAACACGGTACGTCTGTAACTTGCATGAACGTCGATTGAAGGCTCGCCGAATTTGATGGCATCTATCTTTACTTTTTTTTTTTTTAAGAAGTGCTGTTAATCTATGATCTTTATCTTGTTGTTTGAACTCTAAAAGTGCTAGATGGCTGACCCCTGACCGTGTTTGTTGAATGTATGCTATTTTATTTTTATTTTTCCATTCGTTTCTTTTCTTTGGTAACATTATATGTCCATTTAAGCATTGGCATTTTTGCTCCAAAAAATACTTTGCTTTATGCTTCATTGGAGGTGTTTGATGGGAGGCTGAATTAATGGAACATGGTTAGGAGTTTGGAATTGTCACTTGAAGGCGATATGATGGACTATTTTTTTATTTTTTTGAGCAAAAGAAAGCGGCTTCATTTATTTACTGATAACTTTACATACGGTTGAGAGGCCGAATTGTAACTGATATTTACTTAGCCTTTACATGCAAAAAAATCGAACAGATGAGCTAACTGATTAAGATGTGTAGAGATGGATGAGAAGGATGCTATCAGACGCTGTATATGTGTCCAGCGAAGATGCTCAATCTATTTCACCTGGTGATGATTTTGTAGTTACAAAGTTGATGAGCTATTGGCTATCAGATAGTATATATCACTAGATTGCTGCTTCAAGAGCCCGAATTTCTGCATCATAGCTCCCACTGGCGGCCCAGCAAGGCTTAATACTACGAATGGAGCATTTGATGACGAAAGCTCGTCCTGCAAGACCTGTGGCTGGATCAAAGGAGCCATCAATGTGTATTTAGTTCATGATTTACAGGCATTGATGGTGAGGTTAAGAGTTGTAACTATCTTGGACTAGGTGCTCTTGGGCTGCCTATTGTATAATTGCAGGCCTTGCTTATACTGTCCTCACTCCTGAGGTGAGCAACAGCAACATATATATTTGTTGCCTGCCTCCCCAAATAAAATATTGGAGCATACAGAAACTGCAAACCTCGTCCTTGGTATAAACAATACCAATGTTTTGAAAACCGGATCAAATCGACCACCTGTCCGATTCAACCTGAGAATCGGTAAATCAGTCGTTTTGTTACACCCTAACTTTTATCATAAAAAGACAAAAATAGAAAACAATATTAAACCAAACAAAACTTAAGATTATGTTTAGTTTTTGTTTGGTTTGAAGGAAAAAGTAAGGAAAGGAAAGGAAATATAAAAAAACCTTTACAAACCCTATAGATTTTCTTGCCTTTTCCTACTTTTTTTCTTCAAACCAAACACAGCCTAAGGTCTTAATTTACAAACCAAAACCAAATCAAAATCCCACAAACCCTCATCCATCTTTCTCTTTCTTTCGAACTCCAACCATCAACGAACATCTTCTCAGTCGCGACTCGTTGTCTCGCCGTCGACCGTCTCAAGCAGTAGCCGACGACACCAGGTACTCTCTCTCTCCTCCTCCTCCTCCTCCTCCTCCTTCTTCTTCATCTTCTTCTTCTTGCCGCCGGTGGTCTGTTAACCGTATCCCTTCAACTCCGTTAGTCGTCTGTTCTCTTCCTCCTTCTTCTCCGGTAGTGGTCTGTTCACCGCCACTTGTGTGACGGGGTTCCTCTCTTCTCCTCTTTCCTTCTCCTCCTCCTTCCACCGCCTGACACATGCTTCTGCAATCCCCGGCAATGTATTTTATTTTAAAATTTAAATATTTATTTTTTAATTTCTGAATTCGAAAACTTGTTAACATTCATTAGTTTTGTTTACAGGTTTGTCAAATTCGATTGATCTTTGTTTCAGGCTTTCCGTCCACCAAATTCTTACACAATAGACAATACAACCCACCTACTTGTTCAGTTCCTTAGCCTAAGCCCCATTCAAAGCTTGGAACAGAAATACAGAAATAGTGAAATTTAAACTTCAATAAATTGATATCATATTTTGAATTTTGTAGAAATAAATTAAATAATAAATATTATGATTTAGGAATTAGGATAAATAATTGTGTTTAATTTATAATTTTATACTATTTAATTTGTTAGGATTGAGTCTTAAACTTTGTTTGTTGATGTATTTGTTTTCATTGTGGACATATGTCTTAAACTTTGAATGTTTGAATTGTTATTTTATTTCTATATTGGATTAATTTTCCTTTATATTTAGTATTTTTTTGAAATATATATATATATATATATATATAATTTATAACATCAGCACGGTTCGACCTCCAGTTCAACCCCGGTCGAAACTCTAACCCGTGAACCTCTGCCTTTACCGGGTTGATGTCCGGTCCGGTTCTTAGAACATTGAACAGTACTGATTGAGTTTAACCAGTTTTTCATTATCTGATACAGGGGTTTGGGTGAGAATTTCAGGGTTGAGACCAAGTTGAGCTTCACACCACATTACCCGTGCAATGTTGCATTTATAAAACAAGTGAAAAAAGTTTTCTGATTGCTGTTTACAGAAACAACATTGTTGATCTTGCTTAGGCAGCCAACTGGAACATTTGTCCTTGGTTAGGACTTAGGACACCATCCCATAATGCTTTCCAGGTGAATATCTGAAAGCGGTAGGGAACTTTCAATTTCCACAGCTGTTTCCATTGAAAAAAGGTGTGGGATGTTGATGGTTGCATAGCAAGAAATAGCCTATATGCTGATTTTACTGTATATATTCCTGAATTTTTGCACTTCCATAGAACTTTATCTGAATCCAACTCATTGTGGAGACTGATAGAGGTAATGTGATGGATTGTTGAGGGGCGGAAATAGGCCTGTAGTTGAGGTAGGTTCTAGGAGCCATCTGGGTTTAAGCGATCAGCTAATTTAAGTTGCTGAGAGTTTGATGGTAGGGGTGATTGGGCTGTAGTATTCCACCTATTGTAGTTGGAATCCATGGATCATGCAGGGCATAAATGGAAGTGCCATCTTTTAACAGCCATAGCAGGTTTGGCTTTAGATCCTTTAAAAGTTTGTTTGCCTGCTTCCACCATTGTAAGCTGTTATGAGTCATTCCGGCTGCAAAAATACTGCGATGTGGGAAGTACTTTCTGAAGCCTAGTCCACCTTCATTTTTTGTAAGACATAATTTATTCCAAGAGATTGTGTGCCTGGATTTTTTCCTGTCATCTTGCCACCAGAAACTTTGCGTCATCTTTTCTATTTGGGTGTGAACATTTTGAGGCAGGACTGCTGTGGACATGTATAAACTGGAATAGTTTGTATAACAGAATTCACAAGGGTGGTCCTGCCCGCTTGAGAGAGCAGATTTGAACTCCAAGCATTAATCCTAGTGTGTATCTTGTTCAACAACTCCATGTGAGAAATCTGACTTCTAATTTTGACCCCCCAGTTCTGATCCAAGATACTTTGTTCCTTCTAGAGGTTTCCTTTAAGAATTCTGGATAGTAACTTCTGTTGGTGCCATGGCACATTTCTACTAAACATTATACTAGACTTCCCATAACTTATTTGCTGTCCTGAGAGTTCTTGAAGGGTTTCTAGGACTTGATGCAAGGCTTTGACTTGGGTGATATCTGCTCTACAATATACTATGCTATCATCTGCAAATAATAGATGGGTTATTGGTGTGCCTTGTCGACTTATTTTGACTCTTTCAATCTGATTTGTAAAGGATGCATGGTGTAGTGACTGTGTGAGCTTAACTAGAGAATTAAAGAGGTTATGCTAACCTGGATCATCAAAGGTTGTTTTTCATTGCTTTTGATTGTCAATGCTATAGGTTTTGTTTCTGAACTTTCCCTCATTAAATTTAGAAAAAAAGTTATATTTGAATATGATATTGTTTGTGTTTTTAGATGCTTTACATCTAACAAAATGGATTTTTGGTACACTATGGTTGTATAAACAAATAGTTTTTAAGAAAGCACAAGTGATGGGAATCAACTTGAGGCATAACAAAAGAACCAAAGCTGCTCCTATCCTTATTTGGCATCATTACGATGATGTGGGGCCCCCATGGGAGCTGGGTTAGCGGTGGAACCAATTTGAGAAGATCCTTTTGTGGTCGAGATTGCTGCTGCACAGAACTTATTTGACTTTCTTATATTTCTGACCAGTAAGGATATTTTTGTAAATTGGTATGTTTGGGGGTCATTATGTTCAGGAGAGGTCTTAGTCTAATAATTTCCTTTTGTTTGGATTTATTTTTGTAGTTGTTTGGGAGCAGGTTTAATCTAATTTAGTTTATCTTGTAAGTGGCTTGTGGGGCTGGCTAACTTGGGGGCAAGTTTCTTCTATTGGAACCTTCTTTCTTTTTAAGCTTGTGAGGCTCCTTTGAAGAACAGTTTTGGACAGTGAACAAAGAAAACTTGTCTACAGATTTTGGTGTAATTGCCAAGTTTAAGGTGTGATTGCCTAGGGTTAACTTCTTTCATCTTCTCTTCTCTTCTTTCTTTTAATTGATATTTGTTTCTGTTCTGCATACCTACAACCTGAGTTTAGTTACAAGAATAGTGCCAAATCACAAAGATCCTGCATCAACAAGTTTTTATGTAGCAGTTCTGGACCCTATCAGTTACAAGGATCTAAGATGACCCTTTCTCTTATGGCTGTTTTACAGAAGTAGTTCAAAGTGTTCTGAAACATTAAAGGATTACTGACTATATTTTATACGGAGGAACTTGGTGCAAGTAAAACTTAAAGCATTAATTATTTCTTGGGTTATGTAATCATTTTCTTATTTAATCATATTTTGATTGGTAACTTCTAATCATGGAGTGTATGGCCGCAAACCTAGGGTACTTCACTGGTCATGCACTTACTAATATAGGTGCTTCTGGCACAGATAGCAAAAGATTGTTTCTCAAAGATATTTTCACAAATAATCCAAATAACCCCAAAACTGTTCTCTGATCAAGTTCTGCTATTGATTCTTTAATGACACCCAAATTGTAGAAAATTAGTGGAAAATCTTATTTATCTATTTTACACATGTATATTTACTTTCATTTCTCCCCATATATGGGGTATCAAGCAGGGCTTTTGGACAAAGGGTGAAAAATTAATCTCATAGACCAGAAAGACAAGGATTGTTTTTGAACTTTGATCAAGAGCTTTAATGGCGGAAAAATCATCAGAACAAACCTTGCTTCAAGATATAAAATCTTTGTCATTGAATTCAGAAGGCAAAGAATCATCTCCAAGCTGTTCAACTCCAAAAACAGAGTAAGAAGCTGAAATTTAATCATTGTGCAGTTCTTCAAGATATTGGAAATGTAAAATCATTGAATTTTGGTGGTCAAGGTGGTTTTTTGATAAATCCTTATCAACTTCTACCATGCCTCCTCAAGAATTCCATTCAAGCTGAAATTCATCCTTTTGATTGATACAGGATGAGCATGGAAGAAAAGTTCCAAATAATAACGAGTATTGGAGAAGAGTGTATACAAGAGGATGAGTTGCGGAATCTTCTTGTAAAGAAGCCACAACCAATTTGTTATGATGGCTTTGAACCGTCAGGGAGAATGCACATTGCCCAGGTTTTCCTCATATTCTCTAATATTTTTTTGATAGGTCTTATGTGAACTTTAATCTGTTTACTGCGTATTTCTTAGAGACTTCATTTTACTTTAACTGGCCTTTCATTTCTTCTTCTCCCCTCCCTTGATGGTTGTTTTCACTAAACTTTGCACACACAGTGATGTAATATGTGGAGAAGTTAATCTTTCAACAAAAGTACAGTAAGTTAATGTTTATAGGAGACCCTTTCTCTTGATTTAGCCCATGATTTAACAATAGATATGGCACTGGACAGAATACAATGGTGGAACAGGATTCATCTTGCTGATCCCATATAGTTTGGAGTTGGGATAAGGGTCAGCTTAGATGATAATGATTATGATGATCCTTTCTCTTGACTTTCACACTTGCTAGCACTACCATACCACATTTGATGGAACCCTTCAGCACCTTAATAATAGCAACCTAACCTTACTGGAAATTGAAACTGCTTGAATAGTTGAGTCGACAGTACTGGCTACTCAAATTGACTAAACTGATAAGATTTTGTGCAATTTACAAGCAGTTGATTGGCTGTAGCAACTACAACATTATTGGCCCTCCTCTGCAACTACTCTAATTACCAAATAACATAGTGGTTTAGTAACAACTGCTACTTTTGTTTTTTTTTATCAATAGTAAAAACTGCTACTTTGCAGGAAAGATAAGTAAAAGGGATTACTTTCTAAATGTGCACATTTGTTCTGTACTGAAATTTTACTAGGGGTGGATTTTAGATGTCGATCAATTCCATTCCATAACTTACAACCCTGAATAACCATTTATATTGTTGATATAAAAACTAAAAAGTGTTCTCTAGATTAGTTTTTGATTAGTTTAAGAACTTTCTTTGAATCAGTGGATCCTTCTTTCTTATGTGAAATAAGGTATTTGTTTTATTCCTCAACATTGAAATCCACTAAATGAAGACCTTTCAGCTTACCATATAACTTTCTCATAGCAATATGGTGAATAAACCTAGCACATATTTTGAAAAAAATCTCTTAACATTGCTATTATACTGTTGTTGTTGAGGAGGGTTAAGTTAGGAAAGGGGAAAATCTGAAAGTACAAGTTTTGTATAGCTTGTAGGAATACAGATCTTCCAATTCTCTGATTGGTTCTTCCCCTAACTTGCTTACCAGGGAGTTATGAAAGTGATAAATGTGAACAAATTGACATCTGCTGGGTGCAAGGTGAAAATATGGATTGCAGATTGGTTTGCGCAGCTTAACAATAAGATGGGGGGTGATTTGAAGAAAATTCAAACTGTAGGGCGTTACTTAGTTGAGATTTGGAAAGCTGCAGGGATGGATCTTGAGGGAGACAAAGTGGAATTTCTATGGTCTTCAGAAGAAATTAATTCACGGGCGCACGAGTATTGGCCTCTTGTAATGGACATAGCTCGAAGGAACAAGCTTCCAAGGATAATGAGGTAAGTGAATAATTCTTTGATTTGTCTAGCACCTATATCATTTTCTAATTATGGGTCCAATAAATGACAATGTTCTGTTCAACTTGTAGATGTTGTCAGATAATGGGTCGTAGTGAGCAGGAAGAGTTGACAGCTGCCCAGATTCTGTACCCATGTATGCAGTGTGCTGACATTTTTTTCCTGAAGGTAGCTTTCTTGTTTTATTCTTACTTATATTGAAACATGTATAGCTCGTATGGATGTTTGTGGTTGGTTATTGGAGTCAATTTGCTGATGATCCTTTTTCATGTTTTCTTACTACATTCCATACTTGTTTTCTTCTCTTACCTTTCCTTTCCTTTCCTCTCTTTAGTTATTCTGATAAATGATGTTCTTAAATCAATATTTGGCTGAAATAATTTCTTCATATTATTGAGTATATTTGTATGTTTACTGTTTTAATTGTGTGCGAACACATTATCTATCATAACATAAATTTCTTGTTCTCTTAACAGGCTGACATTTGCCAGCTGGGCATGGATCAGCGTAAAGTTAATGTACTTGCAAGAGAGTACTGCGATGACATCAAGAGGAAGAACAAGCCAATAATTTTGTCACACCGTACTTTCTAACTGCAACTGCACTGAGTTTCTCTATTATTCTCCAGTTGTGATCTGTTGTCCTTAATTACTATTACTGGTGACTTGCAGACATGTTGCCTGGTTTACAGCAAGGGCAAGAGAAGATGTCGAAAAGTGATCCCACATCCTCCATCTATATGGAAGATGAGGAGGTAGGTGACTGGTAAACACAGAGAATGGTGATGAGAAATCAATTTTGGTTGAAATGGGTTATTCTTTACATACATACATATAACTTAGCATACAGAAAACCTAGTCAGGTTGTCAGCAAGTGAGCAACAAAGCTAGTTTCTGTAGATACAAAATGAATCAGATGCTATATCTCCCTGACTACAAAAATAGCTTCTTGTGGCCATGGAAACACTTTGCAAATGCATCCAGTAACATTTGGAGACATGAATAAGCATTTTGGAAACACTAAAGTAGTATGGTTAATAGCTTCAACCATGCCCCTTTTAATGCCTTTATGAATAAGAATTTCTGCAGGTCAGCACATATATGCAATGGCTACAATCACATTTGAGACCTCACAAGCTACTTCATTGACTCTCTGAGGCAGAAATTTCTGCCCCTCTTACAAGGTTTGAGTCTTTGAGACTTGCAAAGCAATTCAGGTTTTGACCAGTGTTTTAAAAGGCGTGGTAGGCGCGCCTCCAGGCGAGGCACTCCCAAAACGCCCTGAGGCGTATGCCAGAGGCGTGCCTCATGCACATCGTATATAAAAAGACAGAAAAAAAAGAAAAAAGAAAAAAAAGGAAAGGAAAGGAAAGGAAAAGAAAGGGAAGGGAAAGAAAAAGAAAGAGAAGAAAAAAAGAGAAAAGAAAAAGAAAATAAAAGGAAAGGGAAGGGAAGAAAAGATAAGGGGAAAGAAAGTGGTTTGCCCCCTGCCCCTTTATTCTTCTTAATATAAAATATTTTTATTAAAAATAAAGAAAAAATGAGATCCCCCCTTCCTCTTTATCCTCCTCCTACCCCCCCTCCTCTTAAGGAGGCTTACGCCTCTTGTGTTCTGAACTATGCCTCACGCCTCTAGGTAGTGGAACGCCTCGTGTCATGCCTCGCATTTTAAAACATTGTTTTTGACAATTTGAGATGGAAGGTGATTCTAAACAGGTTATAGGCTGGATGCAAATGAGCAGGTTGGGGGTTTGAAGTTACAAACAAGCCATGAGGGAGGTGAGATGTCTAGCAAGGAAATGGGGGTTAGTTTCAGATGGTGGGCTAGAACAATAGCAAATGGTTTGGCAGATGCTTTAGCCAAATAAAGGACTAACGAGGAGCATTTGTTTTGGGCTTCAGTGTAATAATAGTGACATAAATCTCATCTTTAAACCCCTATGCTTGGGATGCTTGACATATTATAATCGCTGTTATATTAGCTATTAGTACCTTCAGTGTGATGCAGCAAAGCTAGAATAAACTATCACAAGATAGAAAGAAGAATAGAGAGAGGAGAAAGGGTAAAGAAAAAGAAAAGAGAAAGAAATCCTAAGGAATCACTCGAAGGGTCCTAGAATCACTCTAGGGTTTGTAGGGATCACTCCATATTGGCAAACTTGCAAAAGAGTAAAGAGCTTTCAGTAAATCTTCATTAGCTTCAAAAGGAAGAGTGACTTGTGTGGCCCAGAACACTGTTCATCATATATAATTACAAAAGTGCCTCTACTTGTCTTGTGCATCAAGAAACACGATAACTTTTTACCTATTAACTGCAAATAAACTGAAAATTGACAGAGAAGCCCCACTAAATAAGTGGAACAAGATGCCATGGCCCAAGTCCACATGGGACGTGTCAAAATGACGAAAATACCTCTATTGTCTAAAAATACAGAAATATATAAAATTTCAGAATATTCCAAATTTGGTTCTTCAGCTCCTGTATTACACTGTTTCCAATAAGAAAAGCTACTTCATTGAAGAACTGAGTGTGGATTTAAATAATACTTGAAACTGCTTGGACTAGGACATGGGAGTAGAAATCCAAGTACCCAACACATGTTCAGGAATCTGACTTGGCAAGATGAGAAAACATGGACTTACGGACACTTACACAAAATTATATACAAGTAAAATAGTTCATATACTTTTAAATTCTGTGGCATTATATACCTGCAAAAATGGCTCTAATATGTTGCCTCTTTTACCAAGTAACGCTTGATGTGAAAAATGGCATTCATCTTTGTACATGCTGTTATTTAATGTCAAATAAACTAGGAGATAAAAAGGAAATGTTACAAAGAAGTATCAAGAATCATGTAGTGTCAGACTCCAATGTGTCCTACATGGACATGCCATCCATTTAGTAGGGGCCATGCAACAATGCTTGAAACTTGAAAGTCTGTTCATTTTTGGAAGTGGACATTTAATTTTGGTGCTTGCTTTTACAGGCAGAAGTCAATGTGAAGATAAAGAAGGCTTACTGTCCGCCAAAGATCGTGGAAGGGAATCCATGTTTAGAGTACATCAAGTATATCATTTTCCCATGGTTTAAGGAGTTTAGGGTTGAGCGAGATGCAAAGAATGGTGGGGACAAGTGAGTTGTTCTGCCCGTTATAATGTCTTTCTTTCCCATTTAGATTCTCATGTAAAGAGTACCCCCCCCCCGCGGCACCCATAATAAAAGTGCTTCTTTTTAACTTGGATTGTAATGGTTATGGTTTAATAATTTCTATTTTCTTCTTTAGGACCTACAATAGTTTTGAAGAACTAATTGCTGATTATGAGATAGGGGAACTGCATCCGGGTGATCTTAAACCTGCTCTTTCAAAAGCATTGAATAAGATATTGCAGGTGTGCCTTTTCATTTCACTTTGATCTTCTCTTAGCAAGGGTCATTTTTAATTCATCATCCTGCATGGTGGAATTGATTTAAAATTTTCCTATGTATTATTTCCTACTTACCTGTGGAAAATAATCTTTGTTCCTGTGTTCATATTATAGCTTGAGATGTCTTACCATCTACTGAATTTTACTTAAAATCATTCTGAAGATAACTCTTGCAGGAATTTTTTTTGATCAGAAATGGTAACTTTCATTAGACATATTAAGAGAATACACTGTCACCACCCAGTCAAGGGTGTTTACCCCAAGAAAAGTACTTTCTGATTACAGAACAGCCCAAAACAAGTTTTCCCTGAAAGTTCCTTGCTTTGCAAGGGTGTCAGCTAGTCCATTCACTGACCTCCTTGTCTACTTGAACAGTGCCCCAACCTCCCTTGCTAAGCAGTTTACTTCCCTCATGAATTGTCGATGTACCCAGGCCTCCAAGTTATGTGACTGCAACCACCCAGTTAATAGTTTAGAGTCCCCTTCTACCTCAATCTGGTGTAAGCCCCATTGTTTAGCCAGTCTTAGACCTTGTAACAAGGCCATAATCTCTTCTCTCAAAGAGTCTCCATCATCTATCGGACCTGAATACAGTACAACCAGTCTGCCCTCCCTGTCTCTGAAAGCTCCTCCCACTCCAAAGGGACCCGGGTTTTCTAAGGAACTCCCAACAAAGTTCAGCTTCACCCATTGATGTGCAGGAGGGATCTATTCCTCCTTTAACACTGACCTCAATGAGGAAGAGTTTGCCACAGTGTACCATCCTCTAAACAAATCATCAGCTGAATAATCTTTAAATAAAGGGGATGCTTTAAGCCAATGAATGGCCTTGGTAGATATGCAGACAATGATTTGCTCCTTAGATCTTTCAGAACCCTGGAAGATCCTATTGTTTATATCTTCTCAGATTGACCACAAAACAGTTGCTCTTGTTGCTTTCCACGTTGTTCTCCCCTTCTTCTTTGGAGGTCTAAAGAAGTTCGGATCAAAGGCTACAAAGAGAGAGGAAAACCAATTCCAAACAAAGGCTACAAAAGGACAGGATATAAATAAGTGTAATGGTCTCGCCACAGGCCAAGCAGAGGCTACACACGTGGGGTGAAATGCAATAGTTTGGCCTTCTTTTTTGCAACATATCTAAGGTGTTGATTTTCTGGAGTACCACCTCCTAGGAAAATGCCCTTATTTTTGGGGGTACAAGGTTACACCAAACTTCCTTTGTTGGGAAGGTTCCTACTAAGTTAGATGAATGGAGAAGAGCATTGTAAAAAGAAGCACTAGTGAAAAACCCAGAAGGAGAGGCTGACCAAATTCTACTATCCAAGCAAGATTGATCAAGGAGCAGAGTATTAAGAAGGGCAATCAAATCATTAACCATACCCATTTCGGACTCCCTCAACCCCCTCCTCAGACCCAAATCCCAAGAGTTACCATTCAGATAGATAGAGGAAATGGGTTTTTCTTTATTCAACGAAAAAGAGCATATGGACGGGAATCTATCTTTGAGGGAGACATCCCCAAACCAGATATCATCCCAGAATCGAACTTTATTCCCTGCACAAGCATCAAGTCTGATAAACAGAAGACATGACGGCAAAACGCCATGGATAGCTTTCCAAGGAGATGACCGGGATGCCCTAAGGTCAAGACCTCCTACTTGTTTTCTGCCACCCCGTGTATACTCACTATCACTTTGTGCCACAAGTTGTCATGTTCTAGAGGTAGTCTCCATAACCACTTTCCCAACAAGGCTGTATTCCTTGGCTTTATGTTTCCTATACCCAACCCTCCACTATCTCTACTTCTAGAGACCACCTCTCACTTCACCAAGTGATTTTTCTTTGTATCCCCTGGTTCCCATAAGAAGTCCCTCATTAATTTCTCCAATTTAAAAGCCACACTAGTGGGGATCTTGAAGGTAGAAAGGAAGTAAATTGGTAGGTTTGCCAAAATTGATTTTATTAGGGTAATTCTTCCTCCCAGAGAGATGTAATTTCTCTTCCATTCTGCTAACCTCTTTGAGAATCTTTCCAAAACTGGTACCAAAAGTTTTTTGAGTTTGGATTCCCTCCTAAAGGTATTCCTAGATACTCTAATGACCAATCACCAGCTTCACATCCCAACACTCTAGCAAGGATTCCTACCTCTTCTTTCGGTTTATTAACCCCTACCACACAACTCTTTCCCCAATTAATTTTGAGATTAGAGGCCTTTTCAAATTGATTTACCAACCTCTTCAAATTGATTAACTCCTCTATCTCCCCTCCACAAAAAAACAATAATATCGTCTACAAACTGAAGATGAATAACCACCACTATGTCCCTCCCAATTCTCCAACCTCTGATCAAATTATTAGAATCAGCCCTAGCAATTAGAACACTTAAGACATCAGCTACTAGGGTGAAAAGGAAAGGGGAAAGGGGATCCCCTTGTCTAAGACCCCTCTTAGCTGGGAAAAAGTCCCTAGCTACGCCATTAACCAAGATGAAATAGTGACAAGAGGAGATGCATCCCTTTATTTTTTTACACCACCTCACCCCAAAGCCTCTACACCTCAAAACTTCTAGAAGAAACTCCCAATCCACCAAATCATAGGCTTTCTCAAGATCAAGCTTACAGATCAGGCCTTTCTCCTTTTTCCGGCCCTTATACTCTACACATTCATTTGCAATGAGGATTTGATCTATTATTTGTCTTCCAAAAATGAAGGCACCTTGCTTTGGAGAGATCAAGCAAGGGAGGACTTTCTTATTCCTTTTGGCCAAAACCTTGGAGATGATTTTATAATACAAGCTTCCCACCAGGCTTATAGGTCGATAGTCTTTCAGGTGGGACGCTTTTGGCTTCTTGGGGATTAAAGCAACAAAGGTTGCATTGGCTCTAGAGTTGAACTTGCCTCTCTCAAAAAATTCAGCAAACATTTCCAAAAGATCAACCCTAATAATCTCCCAACAATCTTGATAGAAGGCCATTGTGCAACCGTCTGGACCGGGTGCTTTAGACCTTTCCATTGAGAAAATTGCTCTTTTTATTTCTTGGGTCTCAAAAGGTTTTTCTTGATCCGCCATAAGATCCTCGGGGCCGGCCCTCCACTCAAAGTCACCCAAACTCTCTCTAACACCTTCACTGACAGCAAAGATAGATTTGAAGTGGTTCACCAAGGCTTGTGCCATGTCATCTTCCCTAGTTAAAATTTGTCCGTCCCACTCCAATTGGGAGATAAAATTCTCTCTTTCTTTCGTTGGCCAACAAATGGAAAAAAACTAGTGTTCCCATCTCCTTCCTTTAACCACCTACATCTTGATTTTTGCCTCCAATTAATCTCCTCCAATTCTTGCTTAAGCCTCCATCTCTTTGCCCTCTCTTCTGCCCTTATTCTTCTATCCCCTTCAAGACCATCTAGTTGTTAAAATCTGTGAGCAATCCAATTTTTCCTTTCTTCTAATCTTCCAAACACCTCCCTATTCCAATCCTTAATCTTGGCTTTTAGCCTTTGCAGCTTCTTATAAAATTTATAACCCTTCCGCCTAAACTCCACTTGATCCTCCTCCCACCAAAGTTTCACCCTTGAAATAAATTCAGGGTGAAGTAACCACATATTCTCAAATCTAAAAGGACACGGTCCTCCTCTCGCCCTTTCTTGAGACAGTCTAATTGGGCAGTGATTTGAGGTAGTTCTTGGTAAGGCTCTTGCTACCATCCCCCCCAAGACTTCCTCCCAATCCGAAGAGACAAGAAATCTGTCCAACTTACAACAAATCGGTACCTCTTGGAAGTTTGACCACGTAAAGTTGGCTTGTAACAAGGGCATGTCTCTCAGTCCAAAGGAATCCACAAAAAGATTGAAGTTGAGGTAATCCTATGGTTGGGGTTATTAGTTTCATGCAAGAACCTGATCACATTGAAGTCTCCCCCCAGGCACCAAGGTCAATCCCAGATTCCTCTGATAGCTGCGAGCTCCTCCCACAAGTCTCCCCTCTCTCTGTAAGACGTAGGGCCATAAACATTAGTCAACACCCACACTAGACCATCCTCCTTTCTCTTCAACTTGACAGAGACCATAAAATTTCCAATTAGTTCCTCCAAGCACTCCAAGCCTTCGTTCTTCCACAACGTTATAATTCCCCCTGAAGACCCTAGAGATTGTAGAAAGGTCCAACTCAATCCTCTGGCAGACCAGAAACTTCTTACCCACCTTCTATCCACATCGGCCACCTTTGACTCTTGAATCAGCACTATGTCTGGTTTCTCTTTTCTCAAACACTCCTTGATTGCTCTTCTTTTTCTTTTCCAGGAGCTCCCCAAACCTCTTACATTCCACCTTATTATCTTCATTATCGGCAGGCTGAAGTACCCTTTGGAAAAATCCTTCTCTTTACTATCTCCCCTTCCCCCCTAGAGCCCCCTTATCATAATCCACTTCACACTTCAGTCTTTCCACTTCACTTAATTTCTTCTTTCTTTTCCTACCAAAATCATCTAACTTTTTTGCTGGATATCTGGGATTTTCCTGGTTTACTCTCTTTATTCTGCAACTTTCTTCTTCCCCTTTCTTGACTTCCTCTTACAAGCAACTTTTTTCTTCACCCTTCTCTTTCTCCTCTAAAGGTGAAGGGCTTGGAGTGTCACCCTCCTTATCCTTTTCTTGAAGATCACCTAGCTCCTCCGATTCAAGAGCTCTAAACAACTCCATTATCAGCTCCCAGATTCTTTCCCTTTTCTCCTCCTTACTCTCCTCAACCTCCACACCTCCCACTACCTCTGTTTTTGTCAAGGAGTTACTTAAGTTGGCAGAAAACTGAGAAGGGCTGGTTTCACCTGTAACCAAGGCAACACCAGGGCGAGAAGCTGGATTAGTATCAGCAAAAACTGAGAAACAAACAGTACCTTGAGGAGGAGGAGGACACCCTGAAGGAATTGGTTGTCCCTGGACGCCCAAAAGAGGAAGAGTGCTGGGATTAGTGTCACCGCAACCAGCCCTTAGAATGCTAGTTTGGGGAGAAGGGTACGTTGTAGCTCTTTCCTGTTCCTGTGAATTTACCCTACTGCACTCACTTCCATCCTGCTCTTGGAGTTTGCTTGCAACAGGTTCCGCTCTCCCTTGGGTCTGGGTCCTCCCCTTGTTTAGAATAGAACTCTCTTTTCCAACGTTATAGAACTCTTGCAGGATTTATTACCTTCTTTCCTTTGGTGCATCTAAGAAACAGTTTCATTTCTTTTACTAGTAGTGAATTCTTGTTTTGTAACCCTTCTGTAGCTATGCATATAGGGGTTTGGGCCCTCTTTTGATGGCTGCACCCATGAGATCCATCATTCATCATAATGGGGATGATTATGTGGTTCGTATTCATCTAATTGTTCATGATGCTACTGAGCCTACACTGTGATGAATGTTTTGACTTTGGAGTTGAATATTGCAATGTTATTATACATTATACATTTATTTTTCAGGTCATGACGGGATGATCTTGCTTTTAAGGTCAAAATGAATTGGAATTTTCACTTTGTGAATTGATAAAAGAAATAGGTTTCACATTTAGAACTATTGTTTCCCCAAGTGCAATAATGACTCCTATTGGAATATTTTTTCTAAAAAGGTAAAATAACTTTTGTATTAAGTTGCATAAGATCATTACCCAATGTTGGCCCCAGCTATCTGCAGTCTTGGGAGTGGTGGAGTGGATACACTCCTATCCTTGGGAACTTTTTTAAGCACAAAGTGGCTGCTCTCAGATTGGAACCCGTGTTTTCACACTTGACAGCGGGAGATTTACCATTATCCAAAGTAATGGCCCCTTTTGTAATAAGTTGCATGTATATAAAAAAATCTGAGTAGCTTGTGTAAGCCCAATTTACAGTGAAATACAATGGGAAACAGTAGTACCCTGTTAACGAGAAAGCTATACAAAGAATATCATTGAAATATGAGGAATATGGTACTTCCTTGAATGTATTGGTCACTGATAGCCAAGACTTGAAGGTGGTTATTTGGAAACCTACCTTGCAAAGACCCTTTCTAAGTAGGGAGGCCATGCAATGTATTATTATTTGAAACTTTAAGGTGCTCTTGTCAAGTGGATGAAAGGTATGAGATTTTGTGGAAAGAAGAACTTCAAGGGAATTTCATTGTCATATCCTTCTGTACTGCTCTGCCAAGAGGTACTACAACAGAATTGGCAGCATCCGGGCGTATTTGGGAGATGGACCCCTCATCTTCTGGAGGCATTTATGTGATTGGCCTGCCTTGATGTTCTTACCAATAGATATTTGAATGGTAGGAGGCTGGAGCTTCACAATTGCTATTGCCATGCATTCTTTTGCAGATTGGCAGAGGCATTGATGCGCCATTTGTTTTTTTGTTTGCCTGGGATACCAGCTACCTCATTTTCATGGGAGCTATTTAATTCTGTTTTCCAGATTTCCTGGTCTTGCCTCTTAGCTTTGAGGGAAGCAATTCTCTCTTGGCCTTCAATCTCTTTGGGTTGTAGAGGCTCTACCCTGTAGTATATGGTCTCATTGATCACTTTTTTTTTTAATTACTCAAGAATAAAAAGATACGGATAAATTACATCTTTATGAAGAAAAAAAATTCAAATGTATACAGTGATGTTAAAAAAGCATTTAAGGAGTTGGTGCCTTTATTAGTAGAATAATATGGGCAATTAGTTGGTTTGTTCATCTGATCATTCACATTGTTTGAGGTACCAAAAGAAAATTGGCCAGAGTGTAGAGTAACGGTTTCTTTATTGAATGTCTGGGAACATTTTTTCTTGCTTTTTATCCAAAAAAAAAAAAAAAAGAATGTCTGGGAACATCTAACGTCCAGGAGGAAATGAACATGGATAGTAGTCTCCTTTTTCTTATGATTGAGTTCTGTAGGAGTTTTGAGAAATTCTCTAGTGTCAACATTTCATCTAGATCTTAGTAATGTTCTCTAATATTTCTTTCTTCTAAGTGCTTATCTTTGGTGAAGTCTAATATTTTACTCTAGAATTCCTGGTTTTATCTATTACCATTTGCAAACTGAATGCTATATTGTGCACCTTGCAGCCCGTGAGAGATCACTTTGTCAACGATGCCAATGCCAAAGATCTATTAAAAAGGGTCAAGGTAAATGTTTTCACTTATCGCATTGATTTCATAGTTCTTCTGAAAGTCCGATGTCTGGACACTTCTTATAGTATGAATCTTTTGAGAAAGGCATCACCAACCTATTTATGCTTGTGCAGGCCTTTAGAATTACAAGGTGAAGTGAAGGAGAGCCAGTTTGCCTATTTGGTGCCTTGGGTTGCTGAAAATTCTAATGAATTTGAAAATTTTGCTTTTAACTATTCGGAGAGTTGTCAGTACAAGAACGAGGCTGTATACTTTATGAACTTTTTAATTTATTATGCATGCCATTCCGAAAGTCATGTTAAGCAGAGCACAGTTTAGTTTGCTTTACGATGTTTTCTTTCTAGTTTGAACTTTTAATTTATTATGCATACATTCAAAGGAGTCGCGTAAATGTGTAATTTTCTTTACAGGATACACATATTATGTCTTTCTGAGAAAGGTCTGTTCTTATGCGTCACAACTCACAATATCATTTGTGTTTCATGGTGAATACTAATGACAGAACCAACTTCTTCTATGAATGCCATTCAAATTCCCATTCCCGATCCCTATTCTTGCGAACCAAACTGGCCCTTAGAGTACATACCAATTCCATTAACACCAGCTTGTTTTATTTTTTAATCAATGTCAATATTCAACAATTCTAAGCTGGTCATGAGAACATGAAGAATGAAAATGATCAAAATTGGAATCTTATTTTTCTCCTGAAGATACACTGGCTCAGGGTTTTGGTAGGCCATTTGGTCTGGGTTGATATTGAGGATGGTAATCTCCCGTTCGGGAGGTTTGAAGCTTGTGAGGTTCAAAGTTTCGATATGGTTTGATACGCCAAATTGGGTGCATCGGACTTTGTATCGACACTCATATTTTTTAGTTTTTTTTTTTTTCAAAATATGTTCAGGGGGTTGGTTAAAGGCCTGGCTACCCCTCAAACAGGTTTTATCCCGAAACTCCTTATATTTCCCGTATCGGCGACCCACCGATATGTAACAAAATTTTGAACCTTGATTTCAGGTGTATGGTCGACATGGGTCACGTGGCAGAAACAGGCCCAATATGCTCCTTTCTGTGTTTTCTGTTGTCGTGCATCTTGTGGCGTCCATGACCGAACTTAAATTCAGTGTAGTAAGATTGTTATCTGGTAAGTACTAACAATTCTGAAGTTCAATACAAGTTCACATGTATTGTGGGTCATACTGATCAATGAGATGACCCTAGTTTCAAAGGCGGTCCCACTTAGGATTGAGAAGGAAATTTAACTGTGAAGAAGAAATAGGGTCCTCCTCCGTCAGGATTACAGCAAATTTAGACTCATAGACATCAAGGGTAAATTTTCGACTACATTGGTTGGTATTATGAATCACTGAGATATGAGAATGAGCCAACGTGAACTTAACACTTCTAAGAAAGTTGGAAGTCCTGACCTGACTGTTAACCTATCATTCTATTTTATCGCAAACAATTCTAGCCCAACAGTGAAAAGTTGTGTTTTCCATACCATAGAAAGGGTGAAAGACCATATAAAGAAGTATTTTTAAGAGAAACTCCATCCAAGAGATCAAGATATTAGTGTAGATTGTAGACCATTTTATGCTTTAAGTTTAAGAGAAAGCTTTCCTTTTCTTTGATAAAAAGTTTCAAAGAAAACCTAGCTTTCAAAATTTTAAATATATTACAAAGATTGTTTCTACATGTGGTTCAAAATGTTTGCAAGAATTACAACAAATTATTTTCAAGTCTCGGCAACGAGATTGGAATTTCTTGCCAAAGAAATCTAATTTCTTTACATAACCTTTTTTTCCATGTTAATTTCTTCTTTAATTTCTTGACACGTCAGCCTGTACGTGGGTGGACCCACGTGTATGTAGCTAACATGGTGTATCGCGATTGGCCCAGTATCACAAGTTGAACCGTCTTGTCAGTTGTCACCACAGTGTATCTGAATATGCTTGATGTATAAGACAAGAAATGATCGAGCAGAGGGTCATCAAGACGCCTCAGCCCTTTCATATATAGGTTTCACAACTGTTTCTTGATTGGTCATCCACTCATCAAACACAGTGAGGATCATGTTAGATGTTATCCCTAATTACTATCCACTATAATATCTCTTGGTCAGGGGCAAGCACAACTCAAAATGTGCTAGCAGAGTCGAAGGACAAAATCCGAAGTTTTGATGGGGTAGAAAAGCTTAAAGCAATATTTGATTCTCCTTGCTTTTCACGCAGAATTCCTCTTCTCCCTTGGCTCTGGTTTTCCCATCCCATTAGAGCCTCAAAGGGGTTTCTTTAATGGATGACTGAAATGATGTGTTCCAATCCAACAGACACTCTCAGTTGGATTTTAAAAGTTAGAGTGATCAATTGGCCACTCTTATCTCTTCATCAATCCAACCCATCCAGTACCCGACTTTCTACATTCCCCAGTCCCAGAATGACAAATATATATATGAGAGAGAGAGAGAGAGAGAGAGAGAGAGAGTTAAAATAAAGTTTTTGCATTGTAGTGTGATCATCATCATAAGCTGCACTTAGTTTGTGATATATAATGATAATCTTCTGTCAAGTGCTGACCCCAAAAGCTTGGGGATAAGATGATGCAGAAGAAGAAAAGCCAGCTAATTTTGGAAGATAGTGATTAGTGGGTGCCATTAATTTAGTGGGAGCTTTTGGACCCCTTGCATTAAAAGAAAAAAAAAAAAATCAAACAAGTCTTAACCGTAATTCAGTCTGATCTCTTCTGTAGGACCCAAGAAGGTCATGGTCTCAGAACCACGACAAGAGCCACGGCTATTGCAGTGAAGTGAGTCTAACCATGTGCCTACCAAGAGAAACTACCAAAAGTCATGCAGAGAGAGTTGCAGACTGGTGGATTTTTCCCAGAAAGAACCAAATTAGGCATATGGTGAACAGTTGAAGTTGAAGCCACCATTGATTTTGGATGTTTTTTTTTAAAGAGAAAAATGGGCCGACTAATTCGTTTGTTTGTGAAGTTTGGTTGCTTGTTCATAGTTTAATAATGAAATGGAGAAGAAGATCGATATTTTGGTCCATCTGCACTACTTATACTCAGAATTATAGATATGTCATGGGACGGTGGTTGGTAGGCATGCAACGCATGGAGCCATGGACCGCGTCATGTGAGAGAGAGAGGCTAGTCGGCTGGTGCTCATGTGGGGCTTACTTTGTATAATATTTGACTTTAGAGAGAGACAGGTGGACTTTTCCACTCCAGATCTGCTGAGTTCAAATCTGCGCCCCACCGGCTCTCGCCCACAAACGCCCCTCACGCCGAGTGTCCGCCATCTGTCCCTTCGCACGCAATTAGCTTGACACGCGTGCGGGGCTAACGGGATGGCCGTTAGCTCGTCCCGTTAACCCCAAAACTAGCCCAAAACCGAGTCAAACATCCTCGCGTGCTTGAGCTGCCGGTCCCCTGAACTCCGTTCTTCCCCCCTCACTCGAGTTCTCCTTCTCTGGCACCGGCGATCGCTCCGGTCAGTTCATTTGACCGGGTATCTCCAACATTATTCTTATGTGTATGATTTTTGGCTACATTTCATTCAGTTACCCAACGTAATACCAGCCGTCGAGGCACCGGGCTAAACTTCATTCAGTCGGGCGAGCTATTATTACTTCATTCAGTTACCATAGCAAAACTCCATGACCACGCAAGCGTAATGCGAAGCTTCCAATTCTGCATAGAGAGTAGGAAGGAATGGATGGTCCAGCATCTTCAGAATCCTCTTCTCCGTCTCCGCCCTCTCTACCTTCTTCTTCAATGTAAGCGCTTCTTTATCCACAACCTTCATGGCGTAATAGCAGCTATCATCGCCAGCACTGGAGGCCCTGAGACAGCACAGGTAGACGCTCCCAATTCAACGAACGAGCTTGAAATCCCTGAAAGTCAACCCGCTCTTGCCGCGGGAAATGGCAGAACATATAGCTTCCCACGCGAAGTCCGACAACCGGTGGGGCTTGAAGGTAAAGCTCTCAGGCGAGTAATAAGACGAAGTCTTGGCGGAGATTTCGAGAGCATCAAATGAAAAACGACTGATGCTACTGCAGCTATCGCTGCTCATCGAACTCTGGCTAGAATTTAGTGTCTCTGCTGAACCGATTTCACCTTCTGAATCCCGCAAAAACTCGTACATTTTAGGATCCGAGACTCCACTTCACCTCTTCAAAGCTCTTCTACGTACGTACGCTTGAAAGGTTCTTACTTCCTACACAACACTACATTGAGTTTCTAAGTTTCTTCTGAAAACGCTTTCAACAATATATAAAGCATCACCTTCTTTTCCCCAGCGACTCAGAACGTAGCAAGCAGAAATGCAACAAGCAACTACCAGTCAAGGAAGTAACGAATAAAAGAACCTAATCTTTTCTGCACCAAGAATCTAAGCTCTTAAGAGAGAAAGAAAATTGAAAAAAGAAAGCTTCCAGAAAGCAAAGAAGGAAGAACGAATAACCGAGGATTTTACCAGTATTTCTTTTGTACGATCTCCGCTGGTTCTCGAATCAGATTCGAAGATGATCGTAGAAATCCAAGGATTATGACGCGGGAACAGGCTTCGATTCTTTGAGATCTTGGAATCGTTGCTCTCCAAGTCCAAGTTCCCGTCTCTGAACAATTAAAAAAAAAAAACAGTCCAGATTCGATTTTCCTCAATGAACCGTCAAAGCAGCTTCTCCTTCGCCATGAAAACACCTTGGAAGTTCTACTCACAGCTCCTTCCTTCTCCACCGAGAGCAACATGCATCGTTTGAACCACCATTAAAGGATCATCAACTTCAACCCCTCGTCAAAGCACTGCTCGTTGGATAGTAACTGGTCAAGGTGAACTGTCCGGAGCAGTCGCCGGTTCCGGAGAAGGAGAACTCGGTTGAGGCGAGAAGAACGGGGTTCAGGGGACCGGCAGCTCAAGCACGCAGGAATGTTTGACTCGGTTTTGGGGCTAACGGGACGGGCTGGCCATCCCGTTAGCCCCGCACGCGGGACAAGCTAATTGCGTGTGAAGGGACAGATGGCGGACGCTCGGCTTGTGGGGCATTTGTGGGGCGAGAGCTGGTGAGGCGCAGATTTGAACTCAGATCCGCCACCCACAAAGTGTTCCCACATTACACCACCACTGTTGGAATTTTAAATTTCCGGGCAAATTTTTATGTTATTTATTTTATTAATAATAATTTTTTGGATTTATATTTATTTATTTTTGGAGACTTTACATAAAAAAATCCAAAGTTTCGGACAAAAATATAGCATGGAATCTAGAATCCCCACATTTAAGAATCTAAAATTCTCATTATTTCTTTGAAAATTTGCCAAATTTAACTGAAATTTAGAAGCAATTATTAATGAAGCTTAATTCTCTTATATTCTATATATGATGTATGTAATTTGGAAATTAACAGTTTAACATGACAAGAAAATCCAGACCGTTAATCTCTCCTATAGATT